TGCATGTGGGCGTCGGTCAAGAGGCAAAAGGCTTCGTCTTGGATGAGCGCATTAAGACGCACGCGCGCTGCGATCGGACCCGTCGACGCCGCCGCGTCACGTGCATCGACGCGGATGCGATCTTGGTACCGGCACGTCGTGTCGGTGGGCCAGTGCGCGGCGGCAAGTTTGCAGTAGGCGTCGACGCACGCAACGTCACCGGCGCGGGTTTGATCGACGACACCAATCACTAGGGATTCAGGGCGTGACGCGCGCGACAGGGCCGTGAAGAGCGTGAAGCCGCAGCGGTTGCCGTCGCGGTACGAGGGCAGTCCAATGAACGTGGCGTAGTTTGCAGGGACAATGGGTCGAGGCGGACGAAGCGCTCTCTGCGTCGCGTTCAACGGCACATGCTGCGACGCCGGGTCCAGCGTGTAGCGCTGGCCATGGACAAAGCCGCCGCTATAGACGTCTCGGTCCCACACAAACGACGACGACATGCCTCCAAGCGTCGATACAGCTTGCGAAATGGGAGCGCTTTGTGGCGACCGGCGCACCACCCCTAACCCTCGCAAGCACCACCTGGTGGCGTTGCCAGGTGTCGAGTGTCCGGGCAAGCGGCTCTGCCAAGTCCATTCAGCGTCCAGATGCTATATGACATCTGTCACCACCGTGGCTTCAACCTGTAGGAGCCTCCACATCTCACGCGCTCCCACGCCGATACAATTTTGAGAGGGCCGTCGGATCACAATACATTGAGTTGACGGTTCAAGAAGCGACGAGTTGGGTGTTACGCAGTGCAGGGTGCAAGAGCCTACGCCAAGATCAGTTGACATCGATACACCGCTGCGATGACGTACCAAAGGGCTGGCGCGTGGCAAATGCAGCGCCAGTGTGGCCTGGATCTCGGTCGCGGCCGGCCGGGCGCTCGGGTCGAGAAGCAAACACGCTTGGGCGAGGGATCGATACCACGCAGGACACGTGGCGCGCAGAGACGGCACCAGATCGCCCGCGCGAATCGCGTCCGTGAGCTGAAAGCCCCGCAATGGCGCGTCAAAATACGGCTTCTGACGCGTGTCGAGTTCGGTTAAAATGACGCCAAACGAAAAGACGTCGGCCGAGAACGCGTAGCGCCCGCCGTTAAAGACTTCGGGGGCAATCCACAGGAGCGTGCCGACGGCTTGCGTCATCGTCGTGTCCTGCGCGTGGTCGCGGGCCGACCCGAGATCGGCGACCTGCACGAAGCGCCGACGGCTCAGGAGGATATTGTCCGACTTCAAATCCCGGTGGAGGAGCGACTTTGCGTGCAAATGCGCAAGGGCCGACGCGATGGCGTATGCAATCTCGACGGTCGCGTACATCTCGGGCAGTCGCTCTTCACGGACGCCGTCGAGGTACTCGCGGAGGTTGCCGCCGTCCATGAACGGAAGCACCATCATATATGGGTCTCTGACGTAGCCGAGCAGCGGCAGGATGAAAGGCGAGGTACACCTACCCCCAAAGCGTGCGTTAGAACCAAGCGCAACAGGACAGCGGTGTACTTGGTCAAGACGGTGATTTCGTCCTCCAGCGACGAGACCGAGGACGTTGAAAGCACCGACTTGACGGCGACGTCACACGTGCCCTTGTAGCGGCCGCGGTCGACGACACCTTGCCCGCCCGCCCGCAAGCGCTCGGTCACGAGAATGTCCGATGCATCCATCTACGTCCTAACGTCGCCGCACCATGCGCGAACGATGATGCGAATACCTCGTACGGCGGC